GGCAGCCAACGCGGTGTCTGTGTTTACGCCAATGGCAGTAGGTTGTAGCTCACACGGGCAACAGCTGCATGCCGTTTGCCAATGTGGCCCTGAAATGCGTCTCAGCGCAACAGCGAGCAGCCCGCTCTGGCGAGGTGCACGAGGTCGGCGCCAAAATGCCGTATATGCACTTCCAGAGGGGTGTACAATGCAGTCACGTAGCCGTCGTCACAATCGGTGCGTCATGCAACCAATAAGCTCTTGACAATCTGAGCGGCCAACCAATCAGAGTACGGGATATTCCTAAGAAGAAAATGATACGTTGGCGCAAACCACTCAACTGCCGACTGCGTAAAGCCAAAGGCTGCCTTGTTTTCAGATCAGTCCCATCTGAAATCTTTGTGCTGTCAGTTGGGCTACCGTCTCTCGTCCTATCGCGATGTTAAAGTCTGCTCCCTGCGTGACATTCAACAACGGCCTGAAAGTGCCCGTTCTTGGCCTTGGTACCTTCAAGGTAACGAAAGCTGTATTAGTTGGTTTTAAACCCCCTTTACATAGGCCGGTCCAAACGAGGTGGGTGCTGCGGTTTCCACCGCTCTCGAGGCAGGTTACCGACATATCGACTGCGCAGCCCTCTACGACAACGAGGAAGAAATCGGCAAGGCTCTGACCAAAACATTCAACTCTGGCATAGCGAAACGCGAGGAAGTTTTCATCACAACCAAGGTACTGAAGTTGCTTCTGTTTCATTCTGTCTCATTAGCTGTGGAACACGGCGCATCGAGTTGAAGATGTGAGGCCGGCCTGTGAACAGAGCCTTAAAAGGCTCGGACTTTCATACGTGGACTTGTACCTTATGCATTGGCCAGTTGCCTTTGGGGTGAGTTAAGAATGTTCAGCGACATATGCAATGCAATTTCACCCTATCGCCAATGGTGTTTGCTCCTCTTACCTTATTAACGGAGCATATTATGTTTTAAGTATTCTAACAATGTTGGTTAAAGGCAAGATATTGACTACGCATACGATAATTTTGACTGAGAATTCAATCGTTTTTAGCCATTGTTACGTAAGCAAGCTATTAATATCGCCATCACCAAAGTGTTGGCTACCTTGCAGAGTTCTTAGTTGGATGTACAGGGAGCCTCTCAAGTTATCTTTTTGAACTGGGTTAATTGGGTTGACAATGCATTTAAGTCTTTGACATTGTCCGACTGCAGCGATGTGCTTTGTGTATTGGC